TATGCCAGGAAACTGAAATCGCTTCTATCTGAATTGTCTTGGGAAGATTCTGAAGATCACCTGGCAGGATAAGATACCAGACACTGAGGTCCTTTCCTGAACTAAACTGCCAAGCATTCAAACTCTACTGCAACTCTGATGGGCTGGCCATATTGTTCCAATGTAAAACGTAGGCTTGCCAAAAAGACTATTTTATGGCGAACTCACACAGGGCAAGCACTCACATGGTGGTCAGAAGAAGAGATACCAGGACACTCTTAAGGTCTCTCTAAAGAACTTTGGAATTGATTGTGTGACATGAGAGACTCTGGCACAGCATGGCATGCCTTCATCAGAGAAGGTGCCATGCTCTAAGAGCACAGCAGAACTGAAGTAGCTCAAGATATGAGATGCACAAATTTAGAGAATCCACCCCAAATGTCCACATGGACTATTTGTGCCCGATCTGTGGTAGAACATTCTGAGCTCGCATTGATCTGATCTGCCACAGTCAGATACACTGTAACTTGACTCTAGCACAGTGATGTCATTTTGGTCCTCTTCGAAAACAAAGGACAACAACTAACCAAGAGATAATCTAGTCTGACACCCTCATTTTACTGGTAAGGAAACTGAAACAAGAGACGTTAAATGATTTTCCTAAGGTTAAACAGGTAACAAGTGGCAAAGCCAGAACTCAAAAACAGGTCCTCTCTTTAGCATTCTAAGATTTAGCATTCTTTCCACTACAACAATCATGGCCTACATCTTATATTTCTTGGCATTGGCTATATAGAATCTCTCTCACTCTCTCTCTCTCTTTTTTTTTCTTTGACTAGGCAATGGGGTTAAATGACTTGCCCATGGTCACACAGCTAGTAAGGCCAGATTTGAACTCAGGTCCTCCTGACTTCAGGGCCAGTATTGTATCCACTGTGCCACCTAGCTGCCCCCTAGCAGCTCTAATTATTTGTTGAATGAATTAAATATAAGGTTCAGCGTTCCAAAGAATGAGCCAGTTAAAGTGGGAAAGTCAGGCCACAGCCTATGAAAAGTGAGCCATTAATTTGTCCTGGCTTTTTCCTACATACTGCTTCCCTAGCTTTGAATGCTGTTCATCTACCTTAAGTCTGTCAAGTGTTTGTCTTCTTCCATTTCTGGACCAGACCTATGATTTCAACAGTGATGTTGAACAGTGAACAGGGAAGTGATGGGATGGCTCAAGTGCTATACTGGACAAGTCATTCAATCTCTTTTAGCCTCATTTTTCTTATTGGTAAAGTGGGGACAATAACACCTACCTAATTGAATTGTTAGACTCAAAAGTGAATATGTATATTTATTCATATATGTATGTGTGTTCATATATACATATATTTATTATGGTACAATATTATTCCATTACATTCATGTACTATAATTTGTTTAGCCTTTTTTTTTTTGGTAGGCAATTGGGGTTAAGTGACTTCCCACACAGCTAGTAAGTGTCAAGTGTTTGGTCTGAGGTCACATTTGAACTCAGGTCCTCCTGCCTTCAGGGCTGGTGCTCTATCCGAGGCACCACCTAGCTGTTCTCGTTTAGCCCTTTCTTAACTGAAGACTTAACCCCTTAGTTTCCTTCTGCAAGAGGGCAGTAATCTTGGTTATATATATGTATATATATATTTAGATACAGATATATACACACATATATGAAATATGCTTTGCAAATTTAGGTCATGCTTTGCAAACCTTGAAGGCACTACATAAATGTTGGCTATTATTATCAGCACTTGCTTTGCAACTTCTATATAATCTCAGAGCTGCTGAGAACACAGTTTCACGGACTTGCCTAGGGGTCCCACAGCCAGAATGTGCCAGAGAAGGGTCTTGACACCTATCTCTGTATCTGAAATCCCCCTTCTCCATAGATCCTTCCTTAACCTTTGTTGTTGCTGTTCAGTCCTGTCCTACTCTTTGTGACCCCATTTGGGGTTTTCCTGGTAAAGGTACTGGAGCGGTTTGTCATTTCGTTCTCCAGATCATTTGACAGATGAGGAAATTGAGGCAAATGGAGTTAAGTGACTTGTTCAGGATTACACAGTTAGTTAAGTGTCTGAGGTCAAATTTGAACTCAGGAAGATGAGGTTTCCTGATTTCAGCCCACTGCCTCCTTCTTTAATCTAATGGATTTAAAATACATCTGTTTTCCAACCACTTTGTGCTGATGCTTAGAAATGAACAGTGCTGAAGAAATTCTGAACCAGCCTTTAGATCTGACAGCTCCAGAAGGCTCTCTATGAATATTATACCCTTATCCTGGCTTAAGTGAGGCCAAAGAGGCTATAGTGACATCTTCCGGCCACCAGAGGCCACAGACATGTCAGACAACTGGACCATCTCCCTCCTCTCTTCCCCTAGTCCTGCCCCCTTTTAAATTAAGCTTTTCTTCTCTTCCTACCTAGCAAAGAACCATGCCTTAAACCCAAATCACTCTGGCTCTCACCGATTGGCCAATAATAAATCCTAGCCTAAGTCTCACTTGGTCATTGTTTGGGTTTTGATGGTTCAGAATGAGTATAATTCCATTTTGGGCAGAAACTCTGAGGGTCTTTCCCTCCCAGATTGATTTTTTTTTAAACTAGATAAATGAGGCTATTTCCCTCCACCCCCTCCTTTTCTTACCTAGCCTTAATCATTGAATGGAGTTGTCTCAGACAAACTGAGACCTGGGAAAGACCTTAGCTTAAAAAGGCCAAGTTCTCCCACTCCACCCCAGAAATCTCCACTCCTCTTGATCTATATCTTGCCACTGGACACAGATGGCTCTGGAAGAAAGCTAAGGCTGGTGACTTTGCACAGCCCCTCCTTCACTTAACTCCAATTTACTTGCAAGGCAAGACATCACCTTCCTAAGGTCCTCTGAGAACCGACAAATAATAACACCCCCACCACCTAGGAGAGATAGTTTTGATGTTCCTCCAGTTGTTAAGGACTAATAATAACCATTTAGATGGTGTGTTTAAAGGTATAAAAACAAACATGTTTACTCCTTTTTCAGCCTAGTGAGTTTCTCAATCCTTTTTCCCATAAAAAAAAAAGTCCTTCAGGGAGTATGCTTATGAATATCATATAACAAAGATGTGTTTGAGGCACATTGTAAAGGCAAATACAATGTTATATGAGCCAGATTTTTCCAGTGTCTAAATTCTTTGGGAATAAGTTTGGCTTGATTGGAATCCACCTTATGTCCTAGGACTCCACTTAAAACACTAAATGATACTCTAGTGGTCCGAAAGTATTACTGCACCTTCCAGAAAATGCCTAATTTACTCCTCGGGATTACTTTAAATGCACTGAGAGAATCTAGCTCACAGAGCATTTCCACTCGCAGTGTGCTTTTCAGTCGTTAATCACATCTTTGTTATTTGATATCCATGTGAATACTCCTAAGTAAAGCAGCTCTTGCTCAAAGTACATTGAAATAAAGCACTGATTATCTGATTGAGTGATTCTCAGCCCTGGGTCTGTGCCACTCCAGCGTGTCTCTAGTTATACAAGGGTCATCATAGAATTGTAAAAGCAACAAAAAGTCAATACAAATTTATTTTTACTTAATTCTAATAAAAAAAAACTATGTTATATCGAACTTTTTGGAGGAGTTTGTGTGTACAGTGGACTCAGTTAAATGTTGCAGCTCCAGAGATTATAAACCATTGGTTTAATTTAAAAGGCACTCATGGTGTCAGGTGTATAATTATTGAATTATGATAATTTAAAATATGTTATTTACCTTTGCTCCATAAAGCACAGTAACTTGGGAAATCTTGGCTTGGGGTCTTACATTACAAACAAGTGGTTTGAGAAGTTTGTTCAGGTTTGTCCTCTCGTAAGAAAATTCGAACAGGAAACAGTAACATGTTTGTGTGTTGTTGTTTTTTAGAAACTTACATTTTGGATTTATAGATTTAAAAAATTGGCTATCAAATGTTGTACAACGTATTTTCTTAAACTTCCTTTACATTAATGAATCAACTGAAAACACCCTTCGAAAACGTTGGAGTATGAAGTAGGGAGAAATCTGTTGAACATCCATTCTGTAAAGATCTGTTATGGGAAAAGAGAAGGGAGAGAAAAGCATATGGGGCAAGTAAAGAGCCAGGATAGAGAGAAGGAAAGGAGAAAGGGAGTGAAGGAGAGAGGAAGAGAGGGAGGAGGGAGGGGAAAAAAAGAAAGAGGCGGGAACTAGAGGGAGAAAGGAGGAAGGCGTGAGGAGCGACTTATTTGAATAGCGCCTCATTGTGCAGCCAGGCTCCTCCCAGCTGCCGCTTCGGAACCTACTTGTGAATCAGCCGAATGCAAGGAGGGAGAACGTAATTCTATCCCTTGCACAGATGACAGAGAGGAGAAGAAACACTGTTATACTATTAAGCATGGAACATTAGACCTAATAAAAGCCGGGTTCGGGTCACTGGGATGGTGGAGCTGGAGCTGCTGTCTCCTTGCCCAGGCTCCCATCTCTCCCACTCCGGTCTCTTCCTCCGCCTGTCTCCTCCTTTCCCCGGGGCTCTGCTGAGTTCATTCACTGGGATTGGTTTCAAATGACGCCATCGCTTTATTTTTAAACCAATGACCTCATCCTAGCTTGAAGTTTCCTGACCAGCGACTCTTTCTCTTTTCCCCCTTAACCCTCCCCCTCCCCCCTGCCTTTTTCCCCACTTCTGTCTATCACTCTTTTTTGGGGGGGAGGGAGATTTAATTATTTTAGAAAAAAAAACTATTATTATTCATTTTCCCCCCTTCACTTTCTCTACAAGTCTCCTCTTTTCCTCCCGAAGTTTTTCATCCTTTTCGACTTTCTTTTTTTTTAAAACTCAAGGCAGGTTGGGGGTGGGAGAAGAAGAGTTTGCAAATTTCCTCTCTTCCTAACCCTCCAATCGCCAAGACTCGGAGGAGAAGATAATAGAGAAAAGAGAAGGAGGAGGAGGAGGAGGAGGAAGAGGGGAGGAGGAGGAGGAGGAGGAGAGAAGCCGGGCCAGCGTTGGCGGCGGCGGCTCCTCGGAAGGGGAAGAGCCCCCGGGAGACGGACGCGGGTGACAACTTTCGTTTCTTCCCCGGCGAGCGAGGGGAGCGCAAAAGAGAGGTGGGGGAAAAGTAAGTGGGGTGCTGGGTTGGGTTGTTTTTTTTTTCTTAAAGCGGGCGACCGACGGGAGAGCGGAGGCGCCGCAGGGGGCACCGGCCCAGGGACGGCCCCCCCCAAGCGGGGGACCCCAGGAGTAGCCGTGCGCCCCGGCTCGCCGCGCGGGCCCAGCCTGCGCAGCGCAGCGCAGCGCAGCGCAGCGTGGACACCTCGGGGCGGGCGGGCGGCGCGGCTCTCTCGGGGTTTTCATTCACTTTTTCCCTCCCCCTCTCCCCCGCTTTTAAAGGGGAGGAGGGTGGCGGTGTCGGGCTGGGGGTGGTCTCGGGACCGGGAGGGAACCGTAGGCCTCGCCGGGGGGTCCGCGGGGTGCTTCGGTCGAGGGGAGAAGCGGCTCCTGGAGTTGGGGCAGGACCTGGCGCGTGGGGCGAGGAAGAGCCGGGGGGCCGCCGCCCCTCGCCCGCGGTCCCCTCGGAGCCCACTGTTCCAGTCCAGCCGGGAGGCGCCGCTGCCCCTCGGGGGGGCGGCTCGGGCGGCGCTGCTCATTTCCAGGCACGCCTGTTTGCCCCGCGCTCCTGCCCGTAGAACGTGCTTTGGCTGCCGGGAGGAGCGGTGTTATTGCAAACGCGTCTCTGGTCCACGGGCGAGGCACGCGTGGGTTTGGCGGATGAGGCTCGGAGGGAGGGCAGTGACATTTCTAATCCTGGAGAGGTGGTCCCGATGGTCGCGCTTTAGAGGGACCAGAGGGTTCAGGTGGCCAGTTTCTTGTTGATCTGGTTGCAGTTTATGTAACAATCAACAGTGACTCACATTTCTATAACCCTTTTGAGATCGGCCGAGCTTCCTCCTTCCTCAGTACCCCCCCATCCCAAAACTAAGCTTTAACCAATCCATCAACAAACCTAGAATGAGGGCCTACTGTGTGCCAGGCACCCGGCTAGGCTCTGGGGGGCGCCTGGACCAAAAACAAGCCAAGCACCCTCGTGCTCCTCACGTTCCTTGGGGGGGTGGGCCGAACCTTGTAGGCAGGAAAGAATATACAAAATATTTACAATGTAAACACAAAGTAATGTGGGGGGGGCAATAGCTGCTGCAGGGATCAAGGTAGACTGCTTGGGATGGGGGTGGTGGGGGGCGCAGCAGTAGCAGCTGTGGACATCAGGTTAGGTGAACGCTAGGAGGTGGCATTTAAAGATTTAAAGTTAAACTTTGAAGGAAGAGAGGGATTCTGAGGCGGAGATGAAGAGAGTGCATTTCTGCCATAGGGGCCAGACAGTGCGTGCAAAGACCCGGAGATGGGAGATGGGTAATTTGGCTTGGAGCAAAGACTGCCTGAAAGGGAGTAAGGTAATAATTCTGGAAAAGTAGCCTGGAACCAGGTGTTTTGAAGAGCTTTAGATGCTAAGCAGAGAAGTTTGTATTCTAGAGGTAAATGTATTTATATTTCGAACCAATGAAGAAACAAAGGCATTTGGTTTTAGGCGTTTGGTTTATTCTTATTGGAAGTTAATATCTTTGGAAAAATAAAACTGAGTACTTTAAAAAGGATAAACATTTTGTTGTAACAAGATGAACGGTTAATGTAAAATCTTTTTAAAAAAATATATTTATAACCTGGTCACACAGAAATTTGTGAGTTAGTGTATAATTCCATTAATTTTTTTTAGTTGCCAGGGGCTAATCTTTGTGTTTTGAACTCATCAGATGTGACTCTCCAGTTTAGTTTTTAAAGAAATCTCATAGGAGTGGAGGAAACATGGGAACAACCTGTTGTATAACCAACCTGGTTTGGAGAGAGCTCTGGGCCACCGGTTACAACTGTGCTCTCTTGAGCCCAAGGGCTATAAATGCAGGACATAACCTTTGAAACCTTTTGCTTCTCCAAGATTCATCCCCACCGCCACTTTGTGGTGATTTCTCACTTTGCCCTTAAAAATGAAGAAAACTCATTCAGAAAACGGTCAGACATTTTGTCTTACTGATTTTTTTTTTTTTAGTAGAACTTCATTTTCTAGAGGCACTTAGACTGAGAGGACATGCTGGGAGAAGAATGCCTGTTTATGTATTGGAATTTATAGGGTTGATTGTATGTATCATAGAAATATAACCTTTTCTTGAAAGTGTGTAACAGTGCCTCATCTCAGGTCAAGAAAACAATTATTTTTTCCTTTTTTTTGAAGTTCTAACTGAATTAACCCCATTAGCAAAATGACACAAACCCAGATTTACACATCAGTTGATCTGTTTTTTTTTAATCCCCCAAGAAATCTGTGGATGCACAATTTAAGTAGTCGTAATTAAGAAAAACTTGCTGACTTTGTAATTGGCAAAAGTGGCAATGAGAAATAATTAAATTTCTTTGTAAAGAGACTTGGTGAGATGTTGACTACACTCTTTTATGTTTTTGTAAAAGCATTTTTTCCTAACTCGTGAAAGTTATCAAGTAGAAGGACTGTTTATATGGAATGTTAGTATTTTCTAAATTTTATTACATTTAATTTTGAGTTGCAGCAAGCTTAAAATACAATCCCTAAATGGAGTTTACAGGTAAGTCAATCAGTGCTTACTGAATTGACCATAAGTTCAAAAGGCAAAAAATAATTTGAAACCGAGGTCCTTGTTCCTGTTAATAAAATAAATAAGTAAATACATATATAAATAAAGCAAAAAGTGATTACTGCACATTGATAAAGTCAACCCAAATACCAGCAGTGTAAATTCCAGAGCTTAAACTTACTATCATCTTACTAACGTAATATAGAAAAATCTTCAAACTGTGGGCAATGGGACAGTAACTAAAAGTTGAATTATGGTCTTTGATCTTGAAAATATACATATTTTATTTGGGTGTTTCTGTTCCAACTATTGGAATATTGCTATTCCAACAAACTATTATTGTGTAGGCAGAGGGAGAACAGAAGAGTAAAGTTTCACAGTTCAATCATCCTGGACTGAACTGTGGCAGATCTTTGTCCTTCGATGTAAAGATTCAATTCAATTCAATAATCACTTATTAAGAGTCTATTAAATCATCGTGCTAGATGCTGGAGATACCTAGACAAAACCAAAACAGACCCTGCCCTCAGGGAGTTTATATTCTGATGGGGGATTGAACAGAAACAGATAAGTAAATACAAGATAATTTTTGGCGTGCCTGACCTGAGACTTGAAGGAATTTTAGGAATTCTAAAAGCTGGAGGTCAGGAGGGAGTGCATTTTAGACGTGGAGGCTAGACATGGAGGCTAACTGGTAAAAAGGATGGAATAATGCCTATTAAATTTATCTTATGTAAAAACAGGAATTTGAGACTTTGTTCTTTCAAAATCTTCCTGGAAGTACCTGGGAAAAGTCTTTGGAGCCTTCTTTACCATTTACCTTACTTCCTTGGACCTTCATTTTTTTCTACCTCTTAAATTCTAAAACTGTGTCTAACTACAGTATTGAGTTTGAGTTGATGCCAAGGTCAGGGTTTAAGAACAGGACCCAAAGTGGTTGCTGGCCTTGGTCAGTGACTGGGAGTAGAGCCAGAACTGGTGTTTTGGGTTTGTTTTGCTGTTGTGATATCTTCCTCTCCTGTTTTCCTCCAATTTTTTAAAAATTGCTTATGCTGAGAATTTAATTGAGCTGAGCAGGTGTGTAATATGGGATGGTCTTGGTAAAGTGTAATTTTGGGGGGGGAACCACATTTTCCTGAACTATCTGGTAAATTTTTTTTCTAATTTACCTTATTGGAGACCATCTGGCATACAGAAATAGAAGTTTTAGTGTATACATGCTTGGGTTTGAGTGAAAAGTTTTTGATAATAAAACTATAAACCAATATAACAAAATTGAGATAAAAACACCCAGAAAAAGAGTTTGAAAAGTCAAGCACAAGAGAAAAATGGCATTTTAAGAAAGATCTATAAAATGACAAGATTGTTTTTCATCTCTTCTGTTCTGACTTCCTATGATTATATTAAACAGATGGAGGGAACTAGGCAAAAAGACTCTTTATAATGTAAAGATTATAATCAGCTCTTGTTTTCTACTTATTTGATTATGTGGGACAGACTCAATCCCATGTTACTTTCTTTTCACTGAGCATGTTTCTGGACAGCCTCCTCTTTCCGTTAACTTGAACACTTGTTAATGGTAACCGAATCAGAACTATGCAGGAATAGGTAAATATGTTAAAGAGAAAAACACTAAACTTCAAATCTATTATATTACATAAGTAAATAAGGAGATTGTAAGATAGCCCCTAGCTACCTTTTATGAATTTAAGACACCCAAGCCCAGATGAACTACAGATGAATCTTGCTTTGCAGAAGTAGACTGGACCTATATATAAATTGATTCTCTAGGTAATTTGAATTTTCCCTAGATGTGGGGAGGGGAGGAAGGCTGGAAGGGGGGCCAGCACACCATTCAAGGACACATGGGGTGGAGGGGCCAGAGACAGAAGGGACAGCTCTGGCTGGGAGCCAGGAGCCTGGCCTGAGAGGTGGGGGATGGAGACACGTGAGAGCCGGACAGGTGAGGACAGGCAACAAACACGTGGGGGCGCTTGTAACAGACCAGAGCAGTGACTGAGGGAAGATACCCAGGAGCCAATGGGCAGTTGGGTAGGCAGAGGGGGCAAAGTTCCCTCTGGATGCAGGAGACCTCAAGCCAAGTCCTTTATCTGGTAGAACTGTGAAGCTCTGTGCCCAAGTTCACTTGGGTTTGTTTTTGTTTTTGTTTTTGGTGGGGGAAGTAGTAGCCAAGTACTATATAGTAAAGTTAACAGATTTTTTTTTTTTTTTGTAATACAGATTTCTTTCAGAGTTCTTTACATAGTCAAATTTGCATTTGTGTATGGAGAACTTCACATCCAGGATGCTGAAGGAACTGTTGCATGTAATGAATGTCCCAACAATTGTCAGTGATCTTTGAAAGATCATGAACAAGGGGAGGAAAAAAGTTCAACATGAGTCAACAATATAACATGGTAGCCAGAACAGCTAATGTTGATTATAGGCTTCAGTTAGAGGA